AAGTTAAAGAGGAGAATGAAAGTTAAAGGTCCAAAAATTGTGTATTGTAACACTTGTTGTAAGAATCTCGAGATTTAGACTAATGCTAACCTAGTGAAAAACTACACTGCAACTAGTATAAATCACTAATTGACTTCTGCATCTTATACACCCTGATATACAGTGAAAATACCATGTAAATGTCAGATAAAATACTACTATGCAATGTAGGCCTACTGTCTGCTTAAGTTTGGGTTTGATGTCATTGGACTTCAAAGCCGTATATAGTGTGGGCTAAGTTTCTGCTTTTGTCAATAATAGCCCATCATTTATCAACCTGTACTCTCCCAATAATACACTGGACACAAATAATTGTAGTATCTACAACTTCCATTGCACCCAATGTTGGGTAATAAGGAATATCATAGGAGTCTGTGGTTTTGACAATGCAGCTCTTGATGGCAGCAAATATGAAGTTGGCGGGTTCTAATAGGCCAAGAAAATAGTTGATAGGAAACAAAGCTTGTAAAAAATACTGATTCTGCCTGAAATAAGTCTTTTTTGTGTAGTGTGAGCCCCAATGTTGTTGGTGAGCATATTTATCAACCAATTCTTTGTACTTTTGTCAACAGTCAGCTAGATATAATCCTTTATGCCAAAGAAAAGACATGCTTACATAGACAATGGTTGCATCACGGGTATCTGGTCAAATTTTAATCATAGCTGCAGCAACCATGATATTGCCACCCTCCAAACACTTGATCTTTCCCCATAATGATATATCTGCATTTGAAAGATGTGACTACACATATATTGATACACTACTTCTTCTTATTTTTAGATATAACTACCACATGCAGTGGAGCTGGTCACACGGGCTGTGCCCTATAACATTATCAGCCACTACTTCCAAACTGTATAGTACACATGTACAAATAGCCTGTAGTAGTATAAATATCCCAATAGATCCAGGAGACTCCTCAGCAAGTCCTTCTGTTAAATACCATCAACTAACTCAATCTTACTCTAAAGGGTTTACCACTCCTCATTTCTCCTCTTTGCTTGTCACTGTGTGCACCAGGGTATTCAAACTTTGATTGTAACATTAGGACTTGCTCTCTTTACTCTATTGCACTTTGTGCAAGCCCAGACCACAGGGTTAAGTGGACATCTTTTGAACAGTAAAACTTGGGTGCCAGCCGGGCATTGAGCTTTTTCTAGCCCGCAAAAACCAAGTGTGTGCCCCAATCCTGCAGACTGTGGACATTAATGCCATTGTAGAGTTGACTTAGATGTTTGCATCACAATCCCTTTATTTCCCGACATATAAATCCAGTTCTACATCAAACCATGCATCAATAAGCAACAGTCCACAGAGCATAGAGTTTGCGGACACATAGGGTCCGCACTTTTTGAACTTTGGATCTGTTGGACAAGGAGCTAACTCAGCACTCCACACAGGTGCAAGCCTCCACATGTAACAACCAAGAGTTAGTTACTCTGGTGCACACAGGAACACACTATAAAGGTAGTGATGAGGGAGTGGTTACCCCTTAAGCTGCAGAGAGTTTGTTGGTATACAACAGGAGGACTCGCTGAGGAGTCTCCTTGATCTATTGGGGTATATATACTGTTACAGGTTTGTTTGTATATATGTACTATACAGTTGCCAAAGGCAGTGGCTGATGCTGTCATAGGGTGCAGCCCGTGTGACCAGCTCCACTGCGTGAGAGACTTGTAGCTAAAATAAGAAGAAAGCAGTGCAACACGAGAAAGGAGTTTGAACAAAAAGGGGAAGTGCTGCATGGCACGGAGTGTGAAAACTATAAAAGTTGAAGAGGAGAATGAAAACTAAAGGGAAGGTCCAAAAATTGTGTTATTGTAACACCACATGAACTCCAGAGCATTACAACTGTCCACAGATCAACTACCCCTTTCCTTTTATGGATTATAGAAGTTGTCCCTCATGGTAGGGTGGTAGGGGACTGTCTGGACATTGGACCAGCAGACACCCTCTAATGTTTATCCTTTGTTTTTCCCATTGGTTCTCATGTTTTACACTATTTTTGCTATTTTCTTTTTGGTACTACTATAAGACTGTGCTTCCAAAAGGAAAGAGTAGCATCTTTTGATCCACCATATACTCAAAATTTGTCTGAATAAGTTGCCATAGTTGCCTCAGAAGCATTGTAGGCATTCCCCAGCCATATAGCCATATTTCCAACAAGTGCAGAGTTTGTTGTGACATTCCACTCATACAGACCCAAAATGCGGACTCTCAGGAGCCATCCTATTGTCTTATTCTCAGTTCTATATTTATCCTCCACTTGTATTATTGCTCAGACACTTGTTTTACTGCCTTTCCAGCAAGACCACAACTTGCTGTGATGTATCCACACTTAAAAGTATGGACTCTGCGGACTGACCTGCAGACTCATCTGCAGACTCACTCCATTTTTGTCTCCAGCACTTTCCTCTCAATCCCTTGGTTGATCCCTGCGGGTTGAACAACACATAGGTGTTTGGACATCAGGACTATACTTGGTTCTCTCCCAGGCTCCTTTAGCACCTTACAATATGGAGCCCACTGCAAGGGGATCCAAAATGGTTACAAGAAGTAGTGCCAGACTCACTCCAAATCAAAATTTAGTTGAAGAACTTTGTTTAGCCTTTCATATTCCCATTCCACCAGGAGATATTTTTGAAGCAGTTCCAGACTTCCTGTCCCATCATCAAAGTATATCCCCCAGTTCCACCCTCAGTCCACTTATTTTACTATTGAACTCACCTGATCCAACCATATCTATCAGTTGCCAACCACATCCTATCTATTCTACAATGGATCTAAAGCCTATGCCTGCAAGGGGGCATCCATCCACACCTTGTTTTGATGGTTCTCCCATGAATTTAATCCACTTTTTTGAAGATGTAGAGCAGCATGCGGATGCTGCACAACTGGATGATAGAGATCACATCAAGTATGCTCTGCTTTATGCTAACCTTGAAGAGTCCGGAACATGGTCCACATTAGAGTCTGCTTCACAGGGCAATTTCAGAGATTTTATCAAGGGAGTGAAAGTGTTATATCCAGGAGTGGAGGATGATACCAAATTTATGGTGAGTGATTTAGACTGTCTAGTAGAAGCTCAATCAACTTGAGGGATTAGAACCTGAGGCAATTTGGGTGAATACTATTGAACATTCATCTGCATATCCACATTTTTGGTTTTCAAGGATTGGATTTCTCAAGTGGAACAGAACCGAGCATATATACGAGGTTTTGATGCAGCATTCAAAGAAAGGTTGCTCATGCAACTTCAAGTGGTTTTACCAGACCATTATTTTGATGATCCATACCCTATTAATCATGTTTTGGCTAATGCCTCATTTTTATTGAATGGGACTAATAAAACTAAGTGAAACTCAGCCGCTGCCCGAGAGGCTATAGAAACGACTTTATTATTTACCTAAGTGAAACTACAATAGATGTTAGTTTAAGGTGATCTCTAATAAATGTAATGTAACATACCTCAGCCGCTGCCCAAGAGGCTATAGAAACGACTGATTCCTATACTAAACCCCCTACTACTTATAGTCGGAGGTGCTACTCGCTATAGTATAATGACTCCTAGGAGAACAATGGTTACTCCATGGAGAACAATGGCTGCTTTGGCAGAGACTGGGTTTATCCGGTTTTGTCAGGGACTTCTACCCATGTAAACACATTGTCTGGGGGACGTGAAAAAAGTGTGTCCCCACACTCTGCACAGCCACCACAATCCGCACAATCCGCACATTCCACACCAATCCACAAACAAATATATGGTCATAGACCTGCAGAAGCGGATGTGAAAAAGGAATAAGTGGATTGGGTGTTACACTTTAAATGTGCAAGCCTGGTAACACTGGGTTTCTGGAAGTGCAAGTGGTTTCTAATAAGCCCATTTGGAATGGGTTTGAGATTTATTCTGATGATGAGGTTTTTAACTGATAATTACCAAGTTACACTGTTGAAGCGTACAATTGTATTGAAGATAGTAACTGCAATACAGGCATATATATATAGGTCCTACTGTATGTCATATCCGTACTGGTAGACAGAACTCTGGCATTTCCGAAGGAGTTATTCTCCAAGCCCAAAACCCCCAAACCATTGGTATATTCGGGATGACGTTCCTTGTGGTCTGCCGGTTGGCATAACTTTACGCTCCATTCCCACATGGTACTCCGGTTGTCCGCTCTAATACTCTTGCACTAGACTTCTAGCTTGCCATACATTTCTCCTTGCACGTTCTAGTATTCCTTGTGGACTCTGTAGTTAGACCTTATAATACACTCCTTGCACATATGTTCTCCTCTTGCTAGAAAATTGTCCGCATGGAATCCTATACCTACATTACGAGTTACTCCTTATGAGCTCCTGCTCCCCCAACAGTATATAGGCTGTAACTCCTGTACTCTGTCCTGGTAGTTCAAATAGCAACTAGATTCCCTGGCTTTCTTACCAGTCCTTTTCTAAAAGTCCTTTCCGATCCTTCTCCAAAGGATCTTTACTCTGCTCCCTTTCATCCTCTACTTCTCCTCTGTCCACTTCCAATGAGTTAGGGACTAGGGTCTGTGGAAGGGTCTAGCGCACAAGCTAAGCTGATTCCCCATCTCATCCTCCATACTCTGTTACTCCGTCCTTGTACTCCGCAGCTCCATTACTCCAAAGAGGCCACAGTTCTGACACTGTAGGGCAGGCATTTGTGTTGAACAAATAGATACAGGTAACACCATAAGAGGAAATGGTATGTGGGAATATATGGGCAAGTAGCAGCAGGTAGCTACTCAAGAAAGGAAATAAAGTCCATAGGTAGAACAGTTCATAACATTGGGTTACCCTGAATTCTACACTGTTGTCAATGCAACAAGAGATAATCCAACACTTTGTGCAAATGCGGACTAATGATAACAGGTTTCAAGGACCAAACATTTGCGCATTCTGCAGTAATCCAGAGCATTTCATTAGGGAATGTCTCATGGTCATGCAATATATCCGTGATGGATTATGTGGCAAAGATAAAAATGGGAAAATCATCCTACCAGATGGAAAATGGATTCCTAGGACACTCCCAGGTAAAATTATGAAAGAGCAGATTGACAATTGGCATATCTTGAATCCAGGACAGAAGCATAATGCTAATCCGCACATTGCCACTCACTTATTTGAGATCAAAGATGCTGCGGTTATACAATTTGAACTTCATCCAGAAGTCTTAGAGAGCATTTCCAAAGTGGAAGAGATCAAAGATGATGAGGAAGATGGCAACAAGTTGAAACAGCTGCATGCTATTGAAGCACATGCTGCTGAGATTTGCAAACACATGGAAAAGAAGAAGAAGACAGTCTGCTTTGATGGTGCGGAGTTTCCTAAGCAACTGGATATCACCAAACCTCAAGCATCTACTCCTGTATCTGCTGCATTAAATCCAACTACCACTTCACCGTCTGATACCACAGCAAAAAGCTCTTCAACCCCACCATCAGGAAAAACCCTTTTGCTATATAGCGCTATATAGCCACCACCTATATATATAAATGCATTCATAGAAACTATAGTACTATCAGTGCAATCATAGCTCTTATAGCTCTTATAGCACAGTAGTAGGCAAAATTTTAACCAAGGGGAGAAGTATCTATAATTCCCTCAAACTCTGGATTAATCTAATAAACTTGTTCAATAATAAAAAGAGGCCAAAAGTGTTTGGAGTCAAGTATATTATTATAGGCAAGATACTATAAGTGCTCTTATAGCCTATAGCAGCCTACATAGCTCCTATAGCTGTAAAGGTCATAGTTATAATATAGTTCAAGGTGCTTAAAAGAGCTAATAAATCATCCAGTATTAATTAGTTATGTAGCCTGTATTAGTGAAATAGTAGTTTATATCCCTGATACTCACAAAATAAGAATAATAATTTATCCAAATATAAGTAGTGACAATGAGTAAAAAAATAATCTAAGTCCATAAAAGATCAATATATAACACCTATATAATACATTTTATAAGCTTTCATGGTGTAGTGGATAAATGTGATATGTGCCTGTAGGTTGCTTAGTCACCCAAGAGCTGACTAGCAGGTTGAGAGTTCAAATCCTGTCTGTGTTAATTTTTTTCAATCAGCCACGTGGAATAGTAATTAATATTGACTTTTTCGAACTTGTGGCTAATCAGCACCACCTCTATTAGGCAATCCAGTCATGCTCACCTTTGCTTTCCATTCAGTACTTTTGGCATTTTGGCATTTTGGCAAATTTTTGCGTCGCCACTGGCTACACATTGCATTGTGCCCTCGTTTTTGTTGTTTCCTTCACTTCCCTTCCTTTGCCTAGCCCCACCATGGGTCCCTTACTCTCATTTTTATTCTCACCCGACGGTCGTTTCTGGATCCCCATTTTAGTTCACCTCCTCGTCACCTTCACCCTCCTCCTCCTCATCTTCTTTGCTCCCCCACCATTTCTGATGTCACCACTTTCTATCCGCTTCCGTCGCTAATCCGTTGACTACCACGTGCCACTGCTGATATCAGCAAAGCCCCAGCGGCCGGTTCAAATAGGGCAACAGGTCCATCTTTATGACGTTGATCTACCATCATATACTATCAAAACATCGGTCACTCGTCTTGCCTGGTTGGAGCGTGGGTGGGTAGTTTTTGAGCTGGAGAAGGTTCATCCCCTTGCGTTGCCCATGTTCATTGCTGTCCCATTCACTTGGGTACACTTATCTTTTGTCCATTGTCTTCACTACAGCTACACCTACCACACACTGCCTGGGACTCACTTGTTCCAAATTGGGACTACTCCTCTCCCTCCCTCGTTTGACCAGGTGGTCCAACACAACCAGTCCATTGGTGAGGCCATGGAACTGTCGGATTTGGACTAGGTGGTGGACCGGTGGCTCCAGTTTCTTTTTTTTCAGCAGAACATTTATTTACAGTGCAATTATTTTTGATTTTTGAATCATTTTTATGGACACATATTTTTTTAGAATGCCTGACTGACAATGAAGGAACTGTGTTGATACTGATATTGTTTTGCCTTACCCTTTTTTTACTGCATCTTCCCATGACATCATGATTTTCCTGCTCTCTTTTTGCTATTGGACTTTACTTTATGGCTGTACAAACCTGTGACATTACTCACAGCATTCATTGTTCTATCCCTTTCTTTTCCTTTTTTTGACAATCTTATCCTGTACTACCTACGCAGGATTTGTCAGCGTACATTCTTTCCTTCATGTTCTTTCTCATTCTTTTTGCTTAGCTATACTGTGCATAGCCTACTTTTCTTTTACTATATAAACCCCTGTATTTTACCTTGTAAAGAACAAGAACTCAATTCCAGACTTCTTCTCTAATTTCAAGTTCACTACTCTGCTGCTTGTGATCCAGTGTGGTCACAACACTTCCCACTGCTACCACTGTCAACTGCTGTCATCGTCACTTTCCACTTTTGAAGTCATTGTCATCCCTTTCCATTAGAGTCCTTCTGAGCACTACAGTTTGTGCGTCAGGAGCCTGCTATCACTGGGAACCTCGTTATATTGTTGTTCTCAAACCTACCTTGTGCTATGATTTGTAACAACCAAGAGTTACTTACTCTGGCGCACACAGAACCACACTAAAGAACATGAAGAGGGAGTGGTTACCCCTTAGGCTGCAGAGAGTTTGTTGGTATACAACAGGAGGACTCGCTAAGGAGTCTCCTGGATCTATTGGGGTATATATACTAATACAGAGTGTTTGTACTTATGTACTATACAGTTGATAAAGTTAGTGGCTTGATGATGTCATGGGGCCTAGCTTGCATGACCAGCTCCACCGTGTGAGAGAGTTGTATCTAAAATAAGAAGAAGGCAACTCGGCGCGAGAAAGAGGAGTTTGAACAAAAGGGGAAGTGCCGCGTGGCACCATGTGTGAAAGCTAAAGTGTACAAGGTTAAAACGGAGAATGAAAATGAAGGAAAGGTCTGAAAATTGTGTTATCGTAACACAATTAGCAAGGTAGTGCTTGTCTATACTCGCCACAAAGCCCCTATCTTTCTATATTCCAACTATCCCTCCTCCTCAAAACCCACACCCATACATCTCTGGGTTTTACTTTGAAGGATCCTCATACATACCACCCCACGAACAACCAGAGCACCCACTGTTCTAGGAGGCAAAGCCCATAAACAAGTTCCATGGAATCTGGGAGGATTGTGTGTTAGTTTGTTTTTTTGTGTGGTTTTCTAACAACAGTTCTCATCATCAACACCGGAACCATTCCGTGTTATTCATCAGAAACCAGTGGACACTTTGGCAAATATAAACATGCCTATTTTACCTACTCACCCACCAGACTTTATACCAGGAGTCCATATCACACAAGAGCACTTTGAAGCCCTTGACATAGATCCGGACCACTTTCTCTGGCCTGCAGAGAAGAAATTCATCCAATATTTAATCTGAGCACATGAAATGGCTTTTGCTTGGGATGCTTTGGAAAGGGGGCATTTCAAAGAAGAGTATTTTGATCCAGTGCAGATCCCAACCATTCCGCATACGCCATGCGTGGAAAAGAACATTCCAATCCCCCTGCAATTTTTGAAGAGGTAGTGCAGATTACCAAAGAAAGATATCCACAGGTGTGTATGAATCTTTCAATTCTTCCTATTGCTCGCATTGGTTCTGTGTAGCAAAGAAGAATGGGAAATCCTTGCAGATTGTCCATGGCCTTCAGCCATTAAATGCAGTGACCATCAGAGATGCTTTGCTTCCTCCTCTTATAGAATATCTTGCGGAATCATTTTGTGCATGCTATGAACCATTGGATTTATTTGTTGGATATAACTATAGAGCAATACATGTGGACCCCTAACAAATCTAAGTGAAACTCAGCTGCTGCCTAAGAGGCTATAGAAACAACTGAGGTATTCCTATACTAAACCCCCTACTACTTATAGTTGGAGGTGCTACTCGCTACAGTATAATGACTCCTAGGAGTACAATTGTGCTCCTAGAAGAACAATGGTGAATTCGTGGAGTGGTGGCTATGCTCCATGAAAAACAATGGCTGCTTTAGCAGAGACCGGGTTTATCCAGTTTTGTCAATAATAGCATGGGACTTAATACCAGTACCCTCAAAAGTGGAGTTGACAACGCATACTCTGCTGTTCAAAGTGACTTGCAGGCAAAACTATTGTGTGGTTGAAAATGTCCTGCTGTGCCCCAATCCTCCACCTCTGAGCCAAGCAGTTTGACAGAAGCAGAAATTCACAGTCTTTGAGATTACATTGCTTGGAAAAAATCAAATGGCACTGTCAAGGCATATGAGCTTCATGCTCAAGTATTACAACAAGCTACTCAATTGGAGATATTATCATTATATGCTGTTCAAAAGTTAGCTGGCTCTTTGTCCAAGGTTGCACCAGAGAGATTTGATATGTGTCCAAGGAGCTGTATCGCATATACAGGAGACTTTAAAGACCTACAAGCCTGCCCTCATATTTTGAAAGGTCAAACTACTTGTGGAGAAAAACATTACAATGCTGGATCTAAATCAAAGCCAAGAACACAAATACTATATGTATCCTTTATCCCAATCATCCAAGCTATGTTTGCAAATAAGCAATCATCATAACTACTGAGATATAGGGACAAGTGTCTGAAACATTGAAGTTACTTGCAATTGGCTCTCAAGGAATTTCTGGAAGTCAAGCTAGTCAAGCAAGATATTCTGACTTTCCTAGTGGAAGTGTCCATGAATATCACTACAAAAATATGGGTTATTCCAAGATGCACGTGATATTGCCTTTGCGTCATCTACAGATGGTGCCCAACTTGCTATAAAGAAGCAATCAGATACTTGGATATTGATCCTCATACTGCTTAATTTACCTCTGGGGCTGAGATACTAGTCCAACAATATTATCCTAACAATGGCTATTCCAGGACCACATAGCCCAGGTAATATTGAGTCATTTGTATATCCTCTTTTCCAGGATGCAGCCAAATGTAGTGAAGGCATATGGATGTGAGATACAATACATTCCCCCTACTTTGTAAATTGCATGCACATATCTATGGTACTGGGAGACATGCTAGGTTCAGCAAAGCTAAATGGTATAGCAGGGCATACTTCCAATTATGGTGACAGATTTGTCTTGGACAAAGGCGCTAGATCTAGCCTTGAAAAGGGTGCCAAAGCTCAGTACTACCCATTATCACCACCTGATAATAAGAAGTACAATCAAAGCCGTCCCACATATCACTTGGATAATTTGCTAACACGTACAGAGAAACACTATTGGGCTACAATCAACAAACTCAATGCCTCTACAAGTAAATGTGCTTGTGCTATAATTACAAAGGAAACAGGAATATCTTGTATGCCTTTAGCAGCAGCAAGCTCTGCATTTATTCATTCTTCTTTTTTTCCAATTGATCCCTTCCATCTGCTTTGTCAAAATATTGTTGCCTTTGTATAGGATTTGTGGACTATTCATAGTTCAGCATCTGAGCTAATTCATCTTAGCAATTAAAAAGTGGGAGAAATTTGGCAAGCTAGTTGCTTCAGGAATGGCAACATTACCACCATCATTTTGTGGGCCAATTAGAGATCCTTATTTGAAGAGGCAAAGCCAATATAAAATGTATGAGTGGATGGCACTTCTCTACTGGTACACAATACCAATTGGTATTGAGTTGGGGATACGTTCCTCAGTGCTTCAAAAATTTTCACATTTTGTGGCAATCATTGAATTTGCAATGACAATTAAAACAAGGAGTACTGAAGACCTAACTAAACTCCATCAGTTCATCAAATTATTCCTAACTGACTTTGAAAGGATTTATATTTGGCAGCAAAAGGGAGTGGAGTAAGATGTAGTGGGCAATTAGGAGAGGCTGAGTGCAAAGCTGCTCAACACCACAAATTGGAGGGACTACTTCAGGGGTGCTCCCCCAGTGGTTGTCCAAGAGCAAGGATACAATTGTGTTGTTAAGTGTGAAGGAGCAAAAGGAAGTGGGTATGGCTGAATCAACTGACAGCCCAATAGTGCAGCAGTATTGGGGCTATGTCTTATTTCTGAACACAACATGTATCAAATTCAACTCTGTTTGGAGTATGATATGCAATCTCATCAAACTCCAAAGCTTGCACCTAGAGAACTTGAAGCTACTGCACCACAGCGCAAGCAAGATAGTCATTCAGGACAGATACCACTAATGTAATTTGCACTGTGCCTATGGCAGTTTTAGACTATATTCATTGCCTAGAAAAGATAGGATGCATTGAGCATATTCTGACCTTAAGAACCATGCAAAGATTTACACCTCCTGGTTTGATGGTTACCTTAAAGTAGTGTTCAGATAGCAGCATGGGCTTTATTAGTGTACATTGTAGTGTAAAATGTGAAATCTGTAAGACTACTAAAAACAAAATCAGTATAAGAATGATATTAATTTGTAAATGCTTACCTGTTACCCCGTCGTGATGGGTTTCCAAGCCCAATTGTATTGAACTACCCTTGTCACATTTGTCATCAACTGGAAGCAAGTCTGGAGGTCCATAGTTCTAGTGGTGGTGGTGGTGGTGAATATTATTGATTTGGATGCCATTGACCTTGTTGAATGCACTGCAAGATATGTCCACCTCTGTTGCAGCAGCAAGACTCTCACTCATTCTCTGTACAAATAGTAAGCAAGCCATGATTGTGAACTAAAGAAGTTCACAATCACCATTTTATTTGCCTACAAAGTTATAAGCAAGAACATTGTACAATCAAAGTAATAAGTTACTTACCTTCAATGCCTCTAGTTGCTCTTATGCTGGGGACGGTTTCCTTTGTACATACTGAGAGAACAAATATGATTAGTTTCATTGGTATGAGTGTAATCAAGTGATATTACTTACTACAGACATGGCAAGACCTACTGTAATGCCAACACCAAAATCCATAGCTTGAGTTTGGATTGACATTAGCTGTAAAATGGTGATAAGTCTATCATTGTACCAATCAATAGAAGTTGCTGGATCTGCATGCCTAATAATTGGATCAATCAAGCTGCTTCTATTGTGGTTAAGGTTGAGGGTTGTTATGTATACTCTACAAAAGCTATCTACAGAGTGTAAAGGTTGATGGCTTGTATTCAATAGATTGTGTGGATAAGCGTTAATGATCAAAGCTGAATGATATATCTAGTGTATTTCTTGAGGGTTTCATAGTTATATTGATCATATCATAAGACCTAGAAAAGTGGAAAGTATATGAGATAATTTGTTTTGCGGATAAAAGAAACTCACTGTTTGCTAACCTTGTCTATAGCAGAGTTCCCAAAAACCCAAAAAAGGTCCCTGCTAACTAGTACTATGGCATTTTCTGGGGATCCAAATATGAAAATGTGGAATACACACTGGCATACAACCAGGGTTATGTTGAAAGTTCTGTTTGTATTCTATTAGTCAAGGATCCTTGAGCTTGATGTAACCTACTTGGTAATAGAAAATAGAGTCGCCATTTCCAGTCAAATAGACATTAATACAATGTTGTTGTGACCTTCAAGTTCTATGAGCAAAAAGTGGCACATCAAATATCAATATGATGGTATTGATTGATCAGTCCGGCCACTGAGTTTTAAAGTAGTTCTCATGCGCGGACTCAGTCTACCTGTTTATGCTTAGTCAATGTCACTCAGCTCTTATCTTTGGAGAAGAGCACTTGTTCCTCAGTACTTTGGGGTTGTATTGTAGTGTTGTGAGCAAACATGTACAGAGTGCCCAATAACCCAAGGCCAGCAAAGAGGGAGAGCCCCAACGTTGGCAGATTGGCTGTAGGTTTGCACAGCCTTTACCCACAAAGATAGTATACTCTTGGTATACCGGTCATGGTGTAGTGCCCGGACTCCGGTAGACATCTGTATGAAAAGAGAGTAGTTGGTTACACTCATGTTGGGTGGTTGGGGTAGCAGTTAAGCCCCCTGATGAGCCCCTTCACAAGGGCAAAACCACCCCACCCCCACTTGATGGTTTGATTCCCCCTAGTACCAAATATTATCTTATTGCTTATATCATAGACTTAAATCTTCCCATGCATTCACCTGGAGATTACCATTCTCTAGTCTTGTACCCAACTGTTTCTAGGACTGTTGCAAATGAGCACAGCCACAAGGGCTGACATGGCGGCAGTGCAACAGGTCCTAGAATGTCTGGTGCATTATGTAGAGCATGGTGTAGATTGAGTCATGTGACCTGAGTAGAATTTTGCACCAAGTCAGATCATTGAGCCCTAACTACTCCATTTGGCTGTCTTTTATTGGGTCATGATCCCTGTACTTTCTCGCATACAATCTCATAAAAAAGCCCAAGAAGGTTCCACACAACTACTGCAATCAGCCTGTCATATAGCAAGCAAAAAGAATAAATAAGATTCTGAGGCAACATGTCAGAAGATTTGAGACTAGTTCAAACAAAGGACAGGGATAGAGGAACCCTATAACTGGCAACTTGATGTTGCAAAGGTGCTCCTGGTTGGCCTGAATTGCTCTGTAATAGCAGGTACTGGTGCTGGCAAGACTATGCCTTTTGCAATGCCTTTATTTGCACAGCCCAACAAGCTTGTCATCATAATATCCCCACTGAATGCTTTTAAAGCCGACCAGGTTCAAAGGTTCAAAATAATGGGGCTATCAGCTGTTGTAGTGAATGGAGAAACATATAGCCAAGTTCATCTCCCCAATCCAGTTCTTCCAGGAAAAGAGGGAGGTTCATATCTTGTGAGCGGGTGGCATCAAGAATGTACTGTACTTTTGATGTAATGTCTGTTCCCTGTAACAGTGGCTCTATTCTACTGGCTCTGACTGACTGGGCCAGTGTCAATGTTCCCCCTCCTATACAAAATACACCAGATTCTTAATCTTGGTTCCAGATCGATGCAGAATTTTACATCCTAGGATCTGGTGCAATTCATATAGGAGGGGGTAGATTGACCCTGGGACGATTCTAACTGTCCCTCAGCTCTCTCCTCATACTACAGTAGATCTGATTGTAGGTAGACACACAATAGCATCAATGTTTTACCTCGATTCTGCTCCATCCTGAATCCAATCCAAATTGAGCAACATGAAGGCCAATTTTTGAGGCCAGGACATCATTTTGAAGGTTCAAAATATCCTGGAGACCTCATCTGAGCACAGGGCATGATATGGAAGATTATATTTGCCTTTGTCATTGTCTACAGTCTACTGTAAGAACATAAGTCAGATGCTGATACTGATCTACCCCTTCCCTATATCAAATGCACCAGAAGTCCTAGGACAAGCTGATGTGTGGCTGTGCCCCCTTGGCTTTTGCCCTAGAATATGGGGTACAAGACTATAGATTCTAGGTGGTGACACTTTTTATTTGCCTCTGAGTCCGCCAACTCCAATAATCTGGAGCCAAGATTAACCATTTTTCTGCTCAGTTTTAACCAATTTACCAATTCTACCAGGGTATTGTTTTGGGACAGCCTTTTTTGCAGTATGTCTTTCTTGCTTTCTTCCTAATCCTTTACTGATCACTCATGGCTCAAAAAGATTTTATCCCATGCTCCAGACAAAGAACCTCAAAGACTCGCAAGTCAGGATCAAAGATCACTATTTCAGGTTGTTGAAAGGTTGTGGTAGGAGTTCCCGAATTGAAGTTGTGAGTTGTCCCTTAAAGATGTAGTTTTACTTCCCTGTTTCTCTTTCTTCTAGAAGACGCTCTTCTCGCTCTTCTCATCATAAATCCAGCAGCCAGGGTCCTAACAAGTTAGCTGCTCCTAACATCAATCCAGCTGAAGGTGCATAGTCTATTCTTAGGCCATCTATGCACATGTATTCTGTGACTTATCAAACAAATCTTTTATAAAAAATTCTGTGCAGGAGAATGTGAATAGATGTAATTGTTCATTGGGCTTGCCATCATCTCATCATGGTCAGTTAGTTTTATATATATTGTCTTGTTTTTTACGTGAATGCTTAACACATATGCAGTTCATCCATGCTCAAAAAAGGATAGAAATTAACCTTTCTCAGCACCATAAAAACTACCGCAGAAGATATGCAACAGCATGTATGCAATACAAATATGGAACAAGAACTTGGACACTGAAGAAAAAAGGTGTGTCACTACAGATGTCAATGGCTAATGGAGGCCAAAGAGAGATAGCTGTTATCTTCTATGGTTCCTAGAGGTGATACCATATTCTGCAAAAGCCAAGCTAGGCCTTGGCAATTGTCTCCCCCCTCCCGTCCTGTACCTGATGTAGGTTCCTATCAAAAATGCCCTAGGAAATATACTGATCTGAACACTGTTGAACCGGAAAGGATTTAGAAGGAGCTAGTGAATTCTCCCTGGAAATTTTGGAAATGGAGATGATTGAAAGGCTCACAAAATTTATTTATAGCTTGCTAAGTAGAAGTTTTTGCATAGTCTCCTAGTAATATGGGTAGTTTCAGATTGAAGATTGTGCATATACATAGTAACTTAATTCAGATTCATACAAATTTGGATTCAATGTTATTTGGGAAACTATACTTATACGTCATCTAGAATGCTAGACCGTACATGCACCAACTTACCAACTTACCAGTTGCAGCTGTTTCAACTATACACTAACAGTGTCCGCTGTATTACATATATGAGATTCTATGCCTTTGAATGGTCGCGCCCACACCCATCGCACCAAAATGACCACCCCATCAACCTTGTGCTTTCATTCCCTGTTCCAGGTTGTTAATATATGCCCGTAGATCCTCATCACTACCTTTATAGTGTGTTCCTGTGTGCGCCAGAGTAACTAACTCTTGGTTGTTATAGGAAATTGCCATCCCCCATTTACACAAGTTAAGAAGCTGCTGCAGGGTTTCCGCAGTTGATATACCAACATTGAGCTGGCCCAAAACTCCCCGCCAGGCGAATTCGGATACTATCATTATACCACCCTCCATCCAAGTAGGCAGCTCCCATCATTGCTTCCAGGCTCATAGACAACATTGCCTCAAAAGTCTCTTTGCTGCTGCAGTGAGTGTGGCTCCAGATTCTCCCCGGGACACACGGCTGCACAACAGCCATCATACTTCATTGTTCTCCAGTCCCTCAATACCACCCAATTTTTCAACGCCCCGTCCGCATACCATGACCTTGACAGGAGCACAAAAGGAAATAATGCCTCTATTGCTGACAGAATTTCATTTGATTGGATATGTAAATGGTGTGACATTGCACAAACAAAAATTGAGAGCACCCCATTCCATGGATGCATCATCTGACAACATAAAAGCAAGTCAAAACCCTGCACATCTTTTGATAGATACAAGCATTATTCAGTATCCAGAAGATATCACCTTAAATGGTAAATCCAGCCTTGAAGCAATTTTCAGTATTGGCCCTAATACCGACAACTTTATTGATACCTCTAACCTCCCTGATGAGACAATCACTCAACTTCACCAAATAATATCCACCAATCGCAGTACTCACTGGTTTGAAGTCCTACAAAGGGATGGTTGGAACCTAGGAGAAAAAGAGGCTGCAAAGCTATGTCGTGCTCTCTTCCTTGATTTGAAGATGTTTTCCATAGCCAAATCCCAGGAACATTTTTTCACTGGGATGGGATTCTCTGTTAGAGTTACAGCAACCATATCTAGTTTTACACTACAGTATCTCCAATTTTACACTTACTAATCACACAGCCACAGCCTTGCTACATTTGTTGCACCACAGCTCTGACTGCCTCAGCTCTCTGAGACAGTCAGAACTATATCTAATTATATCTTACACTGCCAGTTCAAATTCTCTTCCAGTACAACATTACCGAAAGCTAAACCTCGTTTATTCAACTATTGCAGGCTGTTTTTTGAACTAATTCTCATTGCATGGCCATTTATTCTGTTTTTTTTTGGTAGTGATCAATAAATTGTCAAAATATACCAATGCATTGCTATTATGTAGTGGAGATAGTAAAATACATTGCATTATCAAGTGAAAAAAAAAATAAGCATTTCTAATCCCAATTCTTATCAATATTCCTGGTATTTTCCCCATCTTGTGGTTGCTCTTGCTCCTGTTCCTGCTCCCCTTCATATTTGAGGTAATTGGTATCTGGTGGTGAAGTGCTAGCCACCATTTTCCTCTCCTTGCGTGACTCATTTTTGCCCCAGTTACTGAGATATTGTTTGATCAATTCTGAGGTAGCCCAATCATTCTGAAAGTGTGCCAAATAGGGGTGGTAGCATCTTGCCTACAACAATGTCTGTCTGTAAATGATTCTGCCTATAATTGCATTAAGTCACCAGTCTAAATCAATCTCCTAGTTCTTTTGCAGGTTGACTTCAAAAATTGGCCCGCATATTGAGACATGGCTGGTATACTAAATCCCAGATGGTCAACTGTTGTTCATTCTAAATTTGCAAGGCAAGACCGGTGAGAAGTACATTTTTATCAACAGGATGGACATAAGAGAAATGATATACATACCTGGATACACAGATACTTCTTCTTATTTTCTGTCAAACCCATAGCCCTCCTTAGTCTGTCTTTGCCTGTGTACAACTCGGAAGCCCTTGGTTTCAGAATTGTATATGGCACTTCATCAACTGGACTGTTTCTGTGTTTATTTTCCAACATTCTTGATCTAGCCTCTTCAGCTGATTTCTCAGCATCCAATCTAGCATTTTCTGCATTTATTTGAGCTTTATTTGCCTTTGAGAGTTCTCCTACGAATAAATTTGGTGTGCCTGACCTGTAGTGACCTGCAAAAACCATAACTGGTGAACACACCTTTAAGTCTAGCCAGTTCCTGTTCAAGCTCTGTATTCTTATCCTGTAAGACTTGCTTGATGACATTGGTAACCTTTGTTGCCCTACTTCTTGACGCAGGTTCAGAGCCTGTCTGCCTTCTTGCCAAATTGCTGTTGTTAACTTGGTCATTATCAATTAAGATCAGTGGTGAATTCCAATGCTGGTGTCAGGTGTGTAGATAATGGGTAGTGATATACCTATTTTATGAAGTGAAATGCAGGTCAGTGCAGCAAATGTATGATGACTTTAAATTGGCTAACTTTGGACTCAACATGGAAACTTGGTAAGTTGGTCACTTTGTTGCTAGTATGCCGGTATTCCTACTGTGACTAAGTGTTTTTTGTTTGCTGTCCATCAACACTCTTTGGCTTGACTTCTACCTGGCCTCTTTTTATCATTCATTGTGATTGTACCGAGCAGACATGTATTGTGTCCATTAAAGCTGGCAATAGTACTGTGCAAGAAGTTCATAGTGAGTTTATTGTTTGTCTTTCTAGCTGACTCATTTACGGGGGATGTGACTCATGTTTTACATTTCAGACTTATTTCAATTGATATGGCTAGCCAGCATACAGCAAAGAAATTATGTATCTGCTGTAGACAATTAGTTAGTGCACAAACAGAGTATCATCACCATGCATTACACCAAGCACCACTTAGCATCAAAGCATCATCTCCATGGCAGAGACGACATCTTGGTAGTGCAGAAACAAAGTTGCAGAAGAATCCAACCACAGTATCAGCCCATGCTCACAACATTGATTCCACAATGATCAAAAACATAGGGTGGGAAGGAAATGTTGATCAGAGTGAGCTTCCTCCGAATATGGTCAAATTGGTACTATCGGATGCTGTCTGTGATCTCAGTACAATACCAGGGGTCCATGACCACAATACTGTGGCTGCTAGCAGTGATAACAAGGATGATTCCATGGAATTGGCGAGTGAATCAGATACAGGGTCGTCGGGACTGCCTTTCTGGGAAGAGCTAGGGCTGGACTTGGAACAGGAAATCTGTGCTGTCGGTGAGCATTGCTGATCAAGTTTGAGATTGAGTTCAAACACTGATGACTTGAATGTTAGCTGATGAGTTAAGTGATACGGACCTGTGAATCCTGTGTGCCTTTGCACTCAAAGTCAAATCCCACATGAACAACAACACCTTTGATAAACTGGCATCTGTATTTACATCTGAACCACTCCAGAGTTGGAAGGAAAGTACACAATGAGTGGCCTTCCTTTCAGGATTTAAACCAGTGTTGTATGACTATTGTGTCAATTCCTGTTGCTGTTTTGTTGGGCCAAACTCCTCACTCAACAAGTGTCCTCACTGCAATACATCACACTACTTAGAGGGACAACCAAGGAAATATTTCATCTATATTCCCTTGATTCCTCGGTTGGTTGGTTTCTTCAAGAATCCTAATTTAGTGTACGAGATGAACTATCGAGCAAAAGAGCATGCTCATAGATGTGGAATTATTAGCGACATGATGGACGGTTTTGTATACCGAGGGTTGCTGAACAAGAAAGTGACTATAGGCAGGAATACATTACCTCACTGCCACTTTTCAGATCCTTGAGACATTGCCTTAGGGCTAGCCACAGATGGATTTGCTCCTTTTTGCCGTTGAAAGTCAACAACTTGGCCCATTATTCTATACAACTTCAATCTCCCTCTGGACATACAGTTTCTCAAGGAATTCATTATCTGCTTAGGAACTATACCTGGACCATCAAAACCCAAAGATTTTGATTCATTTATATGGCCTATGGTAGAGGAGCTTCTTCAACTAGCTGCTAGGGTTCACACTTTTAATATCGTTGCTGCGACTATATTTGCCCTTCACACATATTTGCTAATAATATCAGGAGATATTCTGGCAGTTTCCATGATCATGAAGATGAAAGGGCACAATGGTTTCTCTCTATGCCACACTTGCAAGATTCTGGGTGTTCAATTACTAGGTTCTCAAGGAAAAGCCTACTATGTTCCTCTTGATTGCCACAACCATCCAGATGCAAATGGGTCTTCATCCATTTGAAGGTACCATCTCACTGAACTCCTCCTACAAATGCACGAGGAGATATTTGCCCAGGGACAAGAAGTTCAGTTAGCGCATACAGCCGCTGAGCGTTTATCAAAATAATACAGTGTCAAAAGTTTGTCAGTTCTTGGATATCTTCTATCTGTATCCTTTCCAAACTCTTTCCCATACAATTTCATGCACCTTGTATGGGAAAACATCATACCCAACTTGATACATCTGTGGACTGGCAAATACAAGGGACTTGTCAGAACTGTGACCTTTTGGAGTAACAGAGTTTTGGAGTGCGGGGGTGGAGTGGAGAAGTAGTGGAGTACAAGGTTGGGAATGACTTAGCTCATGCGCTAGATCCTTCTGCAGACCTTAGTCCCTAACTCATCGGAATGAACAGATGAGAGTAGAGGATGAAAAAGGAGCAGAGTAAAGGCCCTTCGTAGAAGGACCGGAAAACTTAGAAAGGAACTTGTAAAAAGGCGAGGGAATCTAGTTGATATTCAAACTGCAGGAACAGAGTACAGGAGCTACAACTTATATACTGTTGGAGAAATGGGAGCTCCTAAGGAGTAACTCATAATGTAGGTACAGAGTTCCATGCGGACAATTATCTAGCAAAGGGGAAACATATGTGCAAGGAGTGTACCATAAGGTCTAAACTACAGAGTCCATGAGGAGCACAAAAATGTACGTAGGAAAATGTATGGTGGACTAAAAGTCTGATGTAGGAGGATTGGGGCAGATGTCCAGAGTACCATGTGGAGATGGGGCACAGGGTTATTGTAACAACCAAGAGTTAGTTACTCTGGCTCACAACTAGAACCAACTATAGAGATAATAATGAGGGAGTGGTTACCTTTTAGGCTTCAACAAGTTAGTTGTGAGGATACAACAGGAGGACTTGCTGAGTCTCCTTGATCTATTGGGGTATATATACTACAGGTCTGTTTGTACATATGTACTATACAGTTGATGAAGGCAGTGGCTGATGATGTCATGGGCACAGCCCGTGTGACCAGCTCCACTGTGTGAGAGACTTGTATCTAAAATAGAAAGAAAGGCAGCACAGCACGAGAAAGTGGAGTTTGAACAAAAGGGAAAGTGCCGTATGGCACAATGTGTGAAAACTACAGTAAAAGATTAAAGAGGAGAATGAAAATTAAAGGTCCAAAAATGTGTTATCGTAACACTTATGCCAACCGGCAGGACACAAGGAGCGTAATCCCGAGAGTACCAAAGGTTCGGGAGGTTGAGACTTGAGGAATGTCTCCTTCGGAGATTCCGGAGTTCTGTCTTCCGGCACAGATATGACAGGACTGGATGAAGGAAACCAGGTTTACCACATAGACAAACAGGTATGGGAGGCCATAGGCAAAGCAACTGCAAAATCAGGGGCAACAATTCCTTCAGCATATTCTGCCCATCTGCCAGATTTCATCCCCATGACCGCTCTAGTTGCACAGCCAACTTGTGGTCCTTCTGGACACTCTACTTGGGTCCCATTGTCGCAAAAATTAGTTTTACCATATATAGGCTTTTCGCAGCCTTTTGCACATTTTCATGCATTTTGTACTCTGACACAACCAAATATGGCCAGATTGGGTCAAATAAGGAATCCATCAGGCCTGAAAATGTGCAAAAGGCTGCAACATGGTCATATATGCTCAAACCAATTTTTGCGACAATCCTTTAACATTGGACCTTCCAGAATCAAAAGTATTTTATCCATTTTATTTTAACCATTTTGTTGATCTTGTCAAGCTACTTCATACTTGCCTGCAATTTAAACTTTCCTCACAGGATATTCAAACACTACAAGCTGAATTTGTTGACTGGGTCGAGAAATTTGAAATGTACGACCGGGTCTATACGCCTCTATTACGCTATGTTAAATTTTCTAAACTGGGTACTACTATCAATATTCTGTCCAGCGCCTGAGTACATGTACCCTTACAGTCCACACACTACTTCATGTTGTCAACAGCATCAAAGCTTCGGGCCCCATTTGGACATTGTGGGCCTTTCCCATGGAACACTTTTGCGGGCGACTACAACCAGCAATTAAAAGCCAACAACACCCGTATACATGTATAGCTCAATATCTAATCAATGATGCTCAGCTTATGCACATCGCACTGATCTACAACATTGCAGAAGAACTATTACCGCAAAAACCACCTGGAGATTCTGGTCAGTTCAGCCATCCACAGTGTAAGTCATTCAATGGCACTCCATAGCAGAACTTTGATTTATTTGTAGATCTGTCTTGTGTCTTGTTATTGCCATGCCACAAAGGTCAGCTGGGTTTGTTTCCATGGAAGAAAGTCCTGGCAGCTATAGTGACACGCTTTGATACAACAGTGGTGGTTCTAGGACGGTTTGACTTAGCACAGCATGTTGAACAATGGGGCAAAGTCAGGCATTTGGAAAACAGAGACACAATGGTTGCAGCTGCCCTCACAAAAGCTCATGGTGATATGCAGGATGCAACATTTGTGAGGGTAAATGCTTTTTCATTCCATCAAGTTTTGCATGAATAATATTTTACAGTTTGAGGCACTGGTTGATAAATACCCTCACCAACGCAAATGCACTCCACTCTACAAGAAGAAAACATTTTTTGGACAGCTCCATCATATCATTGTTGTCCGTGTGCCAGCTACTTTGTCCCCTACAGTTGGCTGAGCCGACCATTATTATATTTGCTGCCATCAAGCCCTGTGAGATAGAATGTTGTGATTCATTGAACAACTATTACTCAAAACTAGGATTCATAATAGTCCTCGACATTACTTATGTTCAATGTGTTGTTGGAAGGGTGCCTGCAGATTCAAGATGGGCTTTGATTGATCGCAGTGGTAGCATAGCTCACACTGTCTACGAAGGCAATTCGGACTGAAACATTCATGTTGTAGGTAGAAAAATCACTTAAAATGTATGGTGAAAATCACTCTTAACATATGCGTATATTAGACCTTTACATTTTTAAGCTTGTCGGAAAAATCCATGTTCAATTGTCAAGCCACATAAGGTTGGATAAGGTCATAAGGAAATCATGGATCTAGTAATGTGCAAAAGACTGCACAGAGGCCTTATTGGACCAGATATGAATAAAGCTTTTCCATGTCAGACGTGATCATGAATACCAGCATGTTACTCATTGCTTGACCAAATATGCGGTATCCGCACAATGACTCTGCTCAGACAGACAACCAATATCTTTGCAATTAGTAGATGATTTTTCTAGCTTCCCATATTTGCGGATATCAATATCATTTTTGTAAATTGATTGTATCATCATTGGTTCGATGATACTGCAGTAGCAAAGTACAATGTATATTACTATAAACCTATAATAACGACATAACAAATTTATTCTGTCTTGAAAAGCTTGTCACAACTTAACAGTATCAATGATAACAATTTAACCATACCATGATATTCATTCCTGCTTTGATGATTTACTTCAAGTGCCAGCCATTGGGTCTAATTCAGTTGGGAGCAAACCATCAACAAAAAATAAGAATAATAGGCTATAGTACAACGTGTTAGTCTGTGTTACTGTTAATATCAGTAAAGATGACATATCAATGTACTTTGACATAATGGTGGTCAAGTGAGAAGAATGGGGGACTATGTCTCAAATTCAGATTTTGGAAGGCCAGATTTATAAGGCATGTATGGCAAAATATTGGAGCCCATACATCATAAGCAAAGCTGAAGCGCTGAAGGTCGAAGTGAAGTCAAGACTCACAACCAAATCAACAAAGAAACCATAACCTGACTTTGCGGCTAACCATCATGAAGACAGAGAGAGCACTCCGTTATATTTACCTTAAATACCAGTCATCATAAGACTGCAGTATTTCATCCACGGAGCTTGCATCATCAAGGCATTTAGTATGAAAGAGGCTTATATTGCTTGAATGATACTATTAACAAAGACATGTTCTTACACTATGGCAATTGAGTTTCTTGGTGGTCTGCATCATGTATTCCAACCAATGTAAAGCCTACAGCCTTGGAACTGGAGATGGACTTGTCCGCACTTCCAAGTCCTCGCAAGATGATGCCTAATGTCCAACATGGCATAATCCAGCCAGCTTGTAGCTTTGTATGACTTATATCGGGTCTGATCCTGATCTGATTGATCCTTATTTGTTTCTTTGATTCTCCTGTCAGGCAGTCAGGCTGAATAATATTGTGCAAGGTTCCAAAAGGTCTGATATGGAAAAATGGATTTTTCCGACACTGTGCCCACACATGGTGATGAAAATCACCCTTACAGAAAGTGAATATCACCTAGCTACATTTTATATCTGTTTCGAAAGTTGAATAAAGATAAAATCACCCAATCCGAGTGATTATCACTTGCCAGCGGGTGATTTTTAAATCATGACAAAACTGGATAAACCCGGTCTCTGCCGAAGCAGCCATTGTTCTCCATGGAGCATAGCCACCACTCCATGGAGTCACTATTGTTCTCCTAGGAGTCATTATACTATAGCGAGTAGCACCTCCGACTATAAGTAGTAGGGGGTTTAGTATAAAAATACCTCAGTCGTTTCTATAGCCTCTTGGGCAGCGGCTGAGGTATGTTACATTATATTTATTAGAGATCACCTTAAACTAACATCCATTGTAGTTTCACTTAGGTAAATAATAAAGTCGTTTCTATAGCCTCTTGGGCAGCGGCTGAGTTTCACATAGTTTTATTAAATCACCCATAAATCACCCTGCACCGAATATCAGCCAGTTTGTAGTTGATTGTTGATATTCATCAGGTTATCAGGTGATTATCACCTTTTCTGGGGTCTACAGTGTTGGTACGGAATGACCTAGTTCATGGGTACCGCTCTAAGTTGATTTTCATCCACTCGAAGTGTGATAGTGTTATAATGCATAGTGTGTCAAATTCCGCTTTCCATCCTTCCGCTTCCGCTTTTCCGGTTAGAGGATGTATTAGTTAATAAAGGGCTCTCCATTATGATCGTAACATCATAAAACGTCAGTTGTAGTTGATACTGCCGTTCGCAGTCGCCGTTTGTAGCATCGAGTAGGGGTGGTGGTGTTGAGCATTGATGGGGTATCGTGGTACAGCGGACACACACGGTATCAAGGTCCTCGGTGGATCGGATATCAACGAGTCGGATTCTCTCCCAAATCCAAGCTCGTCATCCTTCCCCTTCTCAAATCACTGCCTTCTTAAATCACTCCCCTCCCCTCTCGTCCCCACATCACGCTACCCACGCTACTCGCTCCATTCACTCAATCCCACTCTACTAGCCCACTCACACAGCAGATGCCTCCTTTACCACAGGCTTCCCCGACGGCGCATACTTCGACTTGACCCGCAACGCCGGACCATACTTAGTGAGCACGAATGGGATGGGAGTCATCAGGAGCGCGATGAAGCCGAGGAGGGAAGAGGCCCATTGGGGGCCTAGTTTGTCGTACATTTGCGTGGCAAAGAGCTAAGGGTGGGGAGGTTGGTTAATAATGAGTTTGACGCAAGTTATGAGAGGGGGACTCACGGGAAAGCCTGCTCCGAAAAGACTGCGGATAACGGTATTGGAGGCGAGGGCGGAGGCGGCGACGAATAGGTATGCATCGATGATATAATTAAACAACGCAAGCTATAAAATCAAAACCCAAAAATCTATCAGCTAACCCGCCTACTCAAAAGAAGGGCACACTCCGAAAAGGGCACAACCCAAAAACAAAGCAAAACTCACGAAAATCAAACAAATACTCCACCCAAGCAACAGCCCAGACATCATCGGCACCCACATATTAATACTCGGATAGCTCGTCCACGCGAACCAGAAAAAGGCGATGGTGAAGAAGGGCGCCGCGATCATCGCGATTTCAAGTCTGAACTCGGGAGGGACGGGGTTGGGAGCGCATTCTTGGGCTTTGCGGGCGTAGCGGGGGTTGATGAAGAGGATGTACTGTGGGTGGGGGGTTAGCTATTTTGATGGGGGGAAGAGGCGGAGAGTGAGGGGGAAGACGTACCATTGCGACTGCTATTGCCCCGCCGACTGGGAGGGGGAGGAAAACGAGGCCTGATACGCCAGCGTTCAAATTATGAGCTATCGTAAACACGATCGGGTATGCCTCGAACAGGAGATACAAGCATCCATACACGAACTGCACCCAAATAAATGAAATAAACCCATTGTCAGCTCACGAAACAACATCGCGTGCAAAGAGAGACGCACACTCATATAGATAGTAATAGCGATCAACATCGGTTCCTGGACGAGAATTTTAAAAGGCCTCGCCAGGATATTCTCGACACGGGTTGCGAAACTGACGACTTCGATTTCGCGCGAGGCGTAGTAGCGGTCATCGCCTGTCGACTTTCTTAGCTGTTGAGCCTTTTTGACGAGCAGGATGGGTCTGTGGACGTCAAAAGGTTAGTATATTGATAGCTACGTCATTGATAGCAGATCAACGCACTCGTAGGTCTCGGGAATGGTGAAGACGATTTGGAGCCAGCAAACGCCCGCCTATGCGAATGTGTTAGTGAGAGAAAGGAGGAGGGGAGGTCGACATACGAAGATGGCAAGGATCCAGAAGAGCCAGCGCCAGGAGAGGCCGCCGACGACGACGTAGCCTGCGACGGTGGGGCCTATACCGGGGCCGGCAAAGGGAGCGAGTGTGAAGATGGCGAGGGCGGTACCTCGTTCGTTCGCGTTCCATATATCAGATATAAGGGCACTGCAATCAAGTGAGAAAGAAGAATATAAGAGGGGGGAGGGAGACGGACCCAGAATTTGCGAGGGGAGCGGCTGCAAATGTACCTCCGAGGAAACGAAAGATGAGGATGGAAGCAGTGTTGTTGGAGAGAGCACAGCCTATTTGGAAACACTGGGGAAAGTTGGTGAGCGGATAGAAATACGAGGGGAGGAGAGACGTACCATGTATACAAAGAAAGTGCCGATGAAGACAGGTCTGCGACCGTACTGTTCTGAGAGGGGACCCCATAGGAGAGGACCGACACAGTAGCCGGCAACAAAGAGGGAGAGGGTAAGTGTGCCAACTTCTTCAGAGAAGCCGAACTGGGCTTGGAGCTCTGGTATTATAGAAGAGGGCGCGGAGCTGGAAAAGGTGCTGGACAGGGAGTGAGATAGAGAAAGGGGATGAAAGGAAATGACATACGCATTGAGGACGAGAAGACCGCCTGCGAGGGTGAGATACCATTTCTTGAGCCTTGACCAGGTCTAGGGGGGGACGTCAGGGTGGGAGAGGGAGAGAACGAAAGATAATGAGGACCTTTGGATTTGCGGGATCATCAGGATCGAAGCGGACGAGAAAGGGATCATGCTGTGGGTGTTTGATGTCGTTTGCAGGCTGGAGCTGAAGCTGCTCTGGCTGGATGACGGTGGAATGACTGGATGCAGAGTCGTCCATTGTGGGTGGGGGAGCAGGAAAGGAGTGGGATTGTTTTAAGTGTGTGGAGGTCCGACATATCGCATGAGTGACGAGATGGGGACTGACAGTGGGGTGACTAACGGATCTGACATAGATCACTGTGACCGCTGTGACAGGATGGACTTTACAGAGATCTACAGACAGTCAAGCCAGCTCGTCGCCTTCTCGCCTGGCGCCCACTTCATCCTCAACGCCGTCGCTGACAGACTCGTCGTGCGCCGTGCAGATTCATTCCAGCTCACCCGCACATGGCTCACAGGCCCGCCAGCACCCACATCCCGACTCATCAACCCATCCCCCCTCCCACACCCCATCTCCCACGTCGCCTGGTCCCCCGACTCTGAGTACATCCTCGCCGCATCCGCAAAAAAGGGCGTCGTCGACGTGTTCAAGCTGCGCGACGACGCCTGGTCCGCACGCATCGAGGCTGGCGCCGAGGGTCTCCTCAACGCCATCTGGGCACCCGACGGCCGCTCTGTACTTTGTTTTTCGGAGTGGGGGGTGCGTCTCTTTCGGTTACCCGGCTTCTTGCTTTGATGATGTGTAATAGCTGAGAGTGACCGTCTGGTCCCTGACGACCGCATCCGCTAACTATCTACAGTTCCCGTTGCACCCAGATCGAGGTAATCATCCTTCATCTCGTCATCAGTCCAAAAATATGTCATCTCTCCTTTCTCAGCTTACGCCTTCCGCTCCGACGCACGCTATTTCATTCTCGCTGAACGTCACAAGTCAAAAGACACTCTTGGTGTATATGACACTGCAAATGCATACAACCTAGTCCGCGTACGTCCCTTCCTTCCCACCATCACTCATACCAATCCCGTTACAGCACTTTCCCCTCCCCACATCAAACCTTGCAAACCTCGCCCTCTCCCCCACAGGCGATCACCTCGCTGTATGGGAAGGCATACTCCAAGTCCGTCCTTGTCCCCTCCTCCACATACGTGCTCACTGTCTGTAGTACAAGCTATACATCCTCTCCCTCGCTGGCGACATCCGCGCCTCCTTCTCCCCTCATCCCGAACCCGCTTTCGGTATCCGATCCGCTGCATGGCATCCAAATGGCCTCTTCTTAGCAGTCGGAGGCTGGGACGACAAGGTACGTCCCCTCTCCCATCCCTTGGCCCATCTCACGCCCCCTAGATATACATCCTCGATTCCCTCACTTGGTCGCCTGCTGTCACCTTTGAGTTGTCCTCTAGGATCCCATCAGGCGCTGTGAGTACCTCATGCACGGTTTATCGCAACGCACTAAGTTGGTCGCAGACCCTATGGCGCGAGCCTCCAAATTGGCTAGAAGCGACGCAGGGTCGTGGGTTCCTCTCCTGTAAGCCCTCTTCCCCACCTTTTCCGTTCTCTCACTCATTCCCCGCGTACAAGACGACAAACTCCCTGGCCCTCAGTCGCTCTCCCTGCTTCGCGTAGACCCTACGAAGCCACACCCGAAAACAGGCGCGGTGCAGCTGGAGTGGAATATCACCGGTAGCCTTCTCCTCGTGCGATACGGTGAGTCCTGGCGTCTCGCGTCACTCGAGGCTTTTTGACGTTGTGCGGGTAGAAAACGTACCGACGGCGGTGCACATCTACGAGTTTCCTTCACCCTCCTCATCGGCATCATCGGCAACAACCCCCTTCAACCCTCGCCTCCGGTGCGTTCTGTCCCACACCCGGGCTGTCCAGGCAGCGCAATGGAATCCGGTGCGGAGAGGGAGCCTGGCGATGTGCTGTGGTGCTGGGTGTATGTATACGTGGAGCGATGAGTGGGTTGGGGAGGGAGAGGGGGAGATGGGGGAGGATGTGGCGGAGTGTGTGGGTATTCCGGCTAGTGAGTGGCTTTACTCTCAGTGAGGGTTTGTATTCATTTTTGGATGGGATGATAGAGGAATTCGAAGCTAGGGAGATGAAGTGGGCGCCGGATGGGAAGGGTGTTGTGTTGATGGATAAGGATAGGTTTTGCTGTGCGTTTGAAGTGGAGGAGGGGGAGGAGGGTGGGTGATGGCGCATAGAATGTTGAGAATGCTGTCAAATGCTAATGTATGGTTCGTTGTACAAGGGTAGTTAGTGTCCACCATCGAGTTTGGGCTTGTCAGTGTGCTTTGTGTGAATGTCATGTCATGTTTCCATTCTGTGTTCGAGAAATGAAATTCTGATTGGGTGTTGTAGAAGACATGATTGTGCAGTTAATAGGATGACAACTATGTCGCAAGTAAGCGTTCGATACGGCGTCAATGTTGATAACCGGTCGGGACCGCAGCAACAGACTCGTCGAGATCTAGGCACCGGCGATGGCCAATAGCGTGATGTCGAGCGTTAGTCAGACGCTGTCATATGACTCTTTCATCTCCGAGTTTTATGGCAATCGTGGAACTGTCCTGTGATTGAAAATCGTCTTGGCACGGCGCAGCATCTAATTTTTAGTCAGGCTTAAAAGCTCTTGTAAATTCGCTCTATATAGTATAGCTCCAGAAAATGCCAACATGTTCCCCATCAGGTCATATTAACATACCAAATGTAGTTATACCTTGCATAAGCCAACTTTTGGCTTCGGTAAGATCAGATTTCGAGGGTGAGATGGTATCAGGCATAGATATCGTGTTATCAGGAGGGGAAGATAAGACAAAACCATAGATTACGGCCTGATAGTAGTACACAGAGAAAAGAATAAAAAAACGCCAAAAAGTACATCTAAAATCACACTATGTAACTTCAAAACAACAAGTGATCAGTGGGCCCTACATGAGAAGCGAATTACTTGATACAGTACAATATACCATGTTACCGTAGGCAATAAGCATGTCCTGTAGCGCTACGTGATCAGCACACAAACGAGGGTCCTCCCAAATCTTCAACATAAGTCCAATGGCATAGTCGTAAACGCCTCAAAACGCTGCAACTTGAAATGTCAGTGAAGTGAAAAAACCATCCTTATTCTCCATCACTGAACAGCAAAGTCCAGCGCCCACTGTTGCAAAGGCGACATCGAGGTTTTTTGTTTTGAGTAGGTGGGCAAAACCACCTAGCCATATGTAGTCCACCTCGGACTTCAGAAAAATGTCAGCCTGGAAAAAAAGGAGCCGTGTGGAACCGTCTGCAAGCTAATATATCTGTCAGAAAGATGTCATGAAGCTACGAAATTAGACGCACAGTGGTAACTTTATGTAGATATAGTCGGTAGGGGTGCTCAAGCACCTCCTTGACACGGTTGATTGTATATTCGATCATGTCTGATGTTCCGATGGGAGGACGCAGTCTGAGTGTGTCGTCTGAAATGCTGTGAAGCCGTATGATCGTCTTGATGTGATTCCGCATATATGAGGGTTGATCGCCGATAGCTTTGATGCAAGATGGACTCCAGTTGAAAGGGCCCCCGCCCAGGCCATTCTCTGCTACCGTTTCATTGAGCACTCGTAGCACGGCAGTCCACTTATTTTTGCCTTCAAGCATCCCCTCTTCGTTCAGTGAGATAGAATCCATTTTAGCCCTTGCCTTTTCGAGTAAGGGCTTAGTGAGGATGTGCTTGTTGTTACAATCTACAGGGGGTCCGCTTGGCGTTTGAGTGTTTTTGTTTTGGAGACTGGCATTTGAAGAACCAGCTGCTGGTAAACAAGAGCTCAATGAGAGAGCAGGGGTGGGGGGGAGGACACTAGTCCCTCTCTTGGCACAGAACTCCTCAATCATTTTCCTTGTTTGAGACTTCATTTGGATAACCCCTTCGGAAAACTCGCCTGCAACCATCTCACCTGGGTGCCTTGGCATATAAATGTAAACTGATTTTATGCGACCCGGGAGATTATTCTCGCCACCCAATTTGCTAACCAACGATGTCTGTGAGCCCTGGATGAGGCCCGCGCCAACTTCCACAGACCTTAACGGCTCCAACAGACCATGATTGCCATGAAGGGGGGACAGGGAAGGGGGTGGAAACAGATCCTGCTGGTAAGAAGAGGGCGGGGCCTGCTGGTAAGAAGATGAGGGCAGAGGTTGCTGGTAAGCAGACAAGGGCAGAGGCTTCCCATAAGAAGACAAGGGTGGGGGCTGCTCGTAAGAAGATGAGGGCGGAGGCTGCTGCTGGTAAGAGGATGAGTGTAACAACCAAGAGTTAGTTACTCTGGCGCACACAGGAACACACTATAAAGAGAATGTAGAGGGAGTGGTTACCCCTTAAGATGCAGAGAGTCAGTTGGTATACAACAGGAGGACTTGCTGAGGAGTCTCCTGGATCTATTGGGGTATATACACTACTACAGGGTTATTTGTACATGTATACTATACAGTTGATAGAGATAGTGGCTGATGATGTCATGGGGCCTAGCCCGCATGGCCAGCTCCACTGTGTGAGAGAGTTGTGTCTAAAATAAGGAAAAAGGCAACGCGGCGTGAGAAAGGGAAATGCCGCGTGGTACCATGTGTGAAGGCTAAAGTACAAGGTTAAGGCGGAGAATAAAAGTAAAGGGAAGGTCCGAAAATTGTGTTATCGTAACACTACCCCCCTTCAAAGGTTCAACTTCCAGGCGAGACCAAATACCGGAGGTAGTGGTTAAATTTTCGGGCATAGGTTGAAAAAGATAATTAAAAAGATTTGAATCCATGCCTCTAAGCTTCCTAGGAGCTGAGGGATTCTTAGAATAAAATTTGCGAACAGCGTTGCTGGAATTGTCCAGATGGGCTTCTGGTTCCCACGTTCTGTCCTCGTCTCCATAGCCCTTCCATAGGACTAGGAACTCTAATTTGCCACGCTTCAAGCGTGCATCCACCACTTGTTCGACTTCAAACTCCTCTTCACCTTCCTGGGTGACTACAACCGGTCCGGTGTCGATGATGAGAACTGCTGTTAGAAAACCACACACAAAACAAACTAACACACAATCCTCCCAGATTTAACGGAACTTGTTTATGGGCTTTGCCTCCTAGAACAGTGGAGTGGTCTGGTTGTTCGTGGGGTGGTACGTATAAAGATCCTTCAAAGTAAAACCCAGAGGTGTATGAGTGTGGGTTTTGAGGAGGAGGGATAGTTGAATTTATAAGAAGATAGGTGCTTTGTGGCGAGTATAGACGAGCACTACCTTGCTAATCGTAGCACAAGGTAGGTTTGAGAACGACGAGGATGACGAGGTGACGAGGTTCCCAGTGATAGCAGGCTCCTGACGCACAAACTGTAGTGCTTAGAAGGACTCTAATCGAAAGGGATGACAATGACTTCAAAAGTGGGAAGTGACGATGACAGCAGTTGACAGTGGTAGAAGTGGGAAGTGTTGTGACCACACTGGATCACAAGTAGCAGAGTAGTGAACTTGAGAGTAGAGAAGAAGTCTGGATTGGATTTCTTGTTGTTTTTTTACAAGGTAAAATACAGGGGTTTATATAGTAAAAGAGAAGTAGGCTATGCACAGTATAGCTGTGCAAAAAGAATGAGAAAGAATATGAAGGAAGGAATGTACGCTGACGAATCCTGCGTAGGTAGTACAGGATAAGATTGTCAAAAAAAGAAAAGAAAGGGATAGAACAATAAATGCTGTGAGTAATATCACAGGTTTGTACAGCCATAATGTAAAGTCCAATAGCAAAAGGAGAGCAGGAAAATCATGATGTCATGGGAAGATGCAGTAAAAAAAGGGCAAGGCAAAACACTATCAGTATCAACACAGTTCCTTTATTGTCAGTCAGGCATTCTAAAAAAATATGTGTCCATAAAAATGATTCAAAAATCAAAAATAATCGCACTGTAAATGAATGTTCTGCTGAAAAAAAAGAAACTGGAGCCACCGGTCCACCACCTAGTCCAAATCCGACAGTTCCATGGCCTTACCAATGGACTGGTTGTGTTGGACCACCTGATCAAACGAGGGAGGGAGAGGAGTAGTTCCAATTTGGAACAAGTGAGTCCCAGGCAGCGTGTGGTAGGTGTAGCTGTAGCGAAGACGATGGACAAAAGATAAGTGTACCCAAGTGAATGGGACCGCGATGAACATGGGCGATGCAAGGGGATGAACCTTCTCCAGCTCAAAAATTACCCACCCACGCTCCAACCAGGCAAGACGAGCGACCGATGTTTTGATAGTATATGATGGCAGATCGACGTCATGAAGATGGACCTGTTGCCCTATTTGGACCGGCCGCCGGGGCTTTGCTGATATCAGCAGTGGCACGTGGTAGTCAACGGATCGGCGACGGAAGCGGATAGGAAGTGGTGACATCAGAAATGGTGGGGGTGCAAAGAAGATGAGGAGGAGGAGGGTGGAGGTGACGAGGAGGTGAACTAAAATGGGGACCCAGAAACGACCGTCGGGTGAGAATAAAAAGGAGAGGAAGGGGCCCGTGGTGGGGCTAGGCAAAGGAAGGGGAGTAAGGGAAACGACAAAAGCGAGGGCGCAATGCAATGTGTAGCCAGTGGCGACGCGAAAATTTGCCGAAATGCCGAAACGCGGAAAGTACCGGATGGAAAAGCAAAGGTGAGCGTGACTGGATTGCCTAATAGAGGTGGTGCTGATCAGCCACAAGTTCAAAAAGGGCAATATTAATTACTATTCCACGTGGCACTGTGCCTGTGTGGCGCAAAGGCGAGTCTTTTTGAATATTCGCTTTGTTATTGACACCTGTCCATGCTACCAATCAACTTTGGTGCATGACACCGGGCCGGTCTACACGCTGTCCCGGCAGCGCCCCTTTGTAGGGTTTCACACGACTAATATTGACCGTGGGTACTACCCTCATTCGTTTTGGGAGTTCCAGCTCCACTGCGTTGGGTTTGACTTCCTTAATCCAGTAAGGGCCAATCCACTTTTCGGTCAGTTTTCTAGACTGCCGATCTTTTAATTTTAAGTGGTCGGTATCTAACCAGACCAGGTCGCTGACCTTGTAGTCAGGGGCCTTAGAGCGTCTACGCTCTGCCCTGTCTTTCATCTGCTCCGCAGTTTTAAATAGCGCTTTGCGCGTTTCGTCCAAGACAGCCTTCATATCCTTGGCCATGTTCTCAGCAGCCTCATTCTTGCTTTTACCAGGTTCTACACCCATTCTGGGGAGGTACAATCTAGTAACCTTGAATGGTGCCTTTCCTGTAGCCGACGACTGTTTGATATTATATGAGAACTGGGCTATCTTTAGCCACTTGGCCCAATCTGTCTGCCTGTCATTAATAAATATCCGGAGATATTGTTTCAACTCCTGGTTGAGTCTCTCTGTTTGTCCATCAGTCTGCGGATGGAACACCGTTGATAATTTGAGTTTGATGCCCAGCATCCGGCATAATTCTTTCGTAAACTCGCTAGCAAATTGGGGTCCTCTATTGGAGATAACCATTTCTGGCAACCCATGGATAGACCATACGAAATCTTTAAATAAATCTGCTGTACCAGCGGCGGTAATGGTTTTATTGGTAGGTATGAATACCACTTCTTTGGAGAAGCGATCCACTACTACCATTACTGAATCGTACCCATTTGACTCGGGCAGATCCGTTGTGAAATCAACCGATATATCCTGCCAGGGACCAGCTGGTATCGGATTCGGCATAAGTTTACCGGCCGGCGGTTGATGAGAATTCTTAGCCATGGCACATCTCAAACAGGATTTTACGTACTCCTGTATGTTTTTAACCATGCCAGGCCACATGTAGTTTCTGGAGATCAACTCCATTGTTCGTTGCCACCCAGGGTGCCCAGCCACTGGAGTGTCATGATGTCTATCTATTGCCTTGATCCTTGCGGACTCAAGCACGTAGATTTTGTCTTTAAAATGGAAGAGCCCGTCTTCCCATAAATAGTTTTCATTGCCATCAAGGTGCACTTTCTCTTCTGAGGAGATGTCTTTCTTGAAGACTTCTAGAAGATCGGAATCCTGCCTGATTCTAACATTGGCCACCAGGGTAACACCTTTGTTGTCATCTTTGATGCTGTTGGCATGATCCTCTCTTCTGGACAAAGTGTCCGCTTTCCCCATAGAGCTTCCAGGCTTATGAATTAATTTATAATTAAACCTTGACAAGTATACCGCGTAGCAGGCCTGTCGTTGGTTCAAGTCTCGGGCCGTCATAAAATACTCCAGATTTTTATGATTGGTCCAAATTTCAAATTGGTGTCTAGCACCTTCTAAGTAGTGCCACCAGTGCTCTAGAGCTGTAATGACGGCCAGCATCTCTTTGTCGCAAATTTGATAGTTGCGCTCTGTAGGCGGCAAACTATGTGATAAATAGGCACAAGGCCTCCAAAGATCGTCAGGGCATTTAATTGACAAAACAGCCCCAGTAGCAAAATCAGAAGAGTCGGTTTCTAGCCGGAACTTTTTGTCCAATTCTGGAAATGCTAATATGGGCACCGTTGTAAACGCCTATTTAAGCTTTTCAAAAGCTTCTTGTTCTTTGGTGCCCCAGTGTCAAACAATGTCCTTTTTAGTGAGATCGTTCAACGGTCTCGTGATTTTTGCGACGTTTTTGATAAACCTTCGGTAGAAATTGCCTAAGCCAAGGAAGGCCCTAACTCCTTTGACGCGAGTAGGTTCTGGCCAATCCAAGATAGCTTGAACTTTCTCAGGATCCATCATGATTCTGTTCTGGCCTATGATCATACCGAGGAAGTCTACTTCCTTCACTTTAAAATTACATTTTTTGGGTTTGACGAATAGGTCCTGTTCCTGTAAGCGTCAAAGGACTTCTTGCACAATCCTGTCATGCTCAGCCTCATTGTCCGACTTTGTAAATATTATGTTATTGTACCCCCATCTGAGATCCATCTTTGTTAAGATCTTGGCGCCAGCCAATTTGTCTGCTAGCTGACTGATCAAAGGCAGCGGATACGCATTTTTAACCGTGTGCTCATTCACGTAACAATAGTCCATAATCATACGCTTCTTACCATCCTTTTTAGGAATGAAGAACACTGGGGACGTCATAGGGCTTTTGGAAGGCCTAATGTAACCCTTCCTAAGCTGTTCATCTATGAAACTTGAGACCTCATCTCTTTCTGGAGCAGAGAGGGGAATCATATGTCCTTTTCTCGGTTTGAAAGTGTCCTTCAAATCTATAGCATGGTCCCAAGGCTTAGCCTCTGGGAAGCACTCTGATTTATGTTTTGAAAAGACTTTCCAGAAGTCATGGTACTCGGGAGGTACCAGCCTTTTAATCTCTTCTTCGGGTTTTACCTCATCATCATCATCGTCAATCTTTTCTAAAGATCTGAGCTCATAAACGTGACCAGCGTTTATCTTTTCAAGACGCTCTTTGTGACAGACATGATTCGGTTTACCCAAGTTTACACACTCCTGAGGGCAACATGACAATGTGACAACCCCTGTCTGCCAGTTAATTTCAGGATTGTGTTTAAATAGCCAGGTCCAGCCTAAGATTAAATTGATCTTCCCTAGTTGGGTAGCTTCGGCGGTGACTTGTTCTCTGTGTCCTTGGTATTCGACCAGAAAAGAACATTTGTGTGTGATGCAGCCACCTGCATTAAGCGTACCGTCAACATTATAGACGGGAATGGATACATCTAATTTTACAAGGGGGAGTCCAATTTGCTCCGCCCAGACCTGATCTATGAAAATTCCGTTAGCGTCTGAATCAAGCAGTGCGCTGGTTGGGTGTACTATGCCCCGGGCAAGATTTTCCACACCAACATCTAAACAGATCTCCTTTTGGAATAAATATGTGCGCATCAACACACACCTTGGGATTTCGGGAAAGGGTGGCTCCAGTGAAGAAGAAGGGGTATCGAAAGTTACATGTTTTTCTATTTTATTTTTGCCAGAATCAAGCACCCTAGTGTTTGTCTCGCCGGGGCCACGCTCCAAGGGAGATGCTGGTGCAGCGGTAGTATCATAAATATCACAGTTACATTGCTTCATACAAGTACATACTTCAGATAACAAATTTAAAAATCTATTTACAAATTGGGGAGCCATCCCCGTCTTTCCGTTATTGCTCCTGCAACACCCCAGAGCAGGGGCCACTTTGTTGTGGTTTACTTCATTGTTTCGTGGAGCGAAGGCACCCAAGTGACCTAAGCTCCAAACTCTTTCTGGTCAGAGGAAAATAAAGAGGAAGTTTTGTATGTTAATCCTAATCAACAGTGGTTCCACACCGACTGCTGAGCTAAGTACTCCCCTTAACGCTGGGGGCCGCATATCAAAGGTTTTGGTTCTTCTCCCAAAGCACTACAAGGCTGTCGCTAGGAGCGCACCTATCTGCTATGCGGGATATTCCCAACCAATAACCAAATCTCCTTCACCCTGGAGTCTGGGTGCCCAGTGGGACTTTTTGCACAAATGTGCGAGAGAGTAGAAAGAGCGAGTCCTAATGTAACAACCAAGAGTTAGTTACTCTGGCGCACACAGGAACACACTATAAAGAGAATGTAGAGGGAGTGGTTACCCCTTAAGATGCAGAGAGTTAGTTGGTATACAACAGGAGGACTTGCTGAGGAGTCTCCTGGATCTATTGGGGTATATATACTACTACAGGGTTATTTGTACATGTGTACTATACAGTTGATAGAGATAGTGGCTGATAATGTCATGGGGCCTAGCCCGCATGGCCAGCTCCACTATGTGAGAGAGTTGTGTCTAAAATAAGGAAAAAGGCAACGCGGCGCGAGAAAGGGAAATGCCGCGTGGTACCATGTATGAAGGCTAAAGTACAAGGTTAAGGCGGAGAATAAAAGTAAAGAGAAGGTCCAAAAATTGTGTTATCGTAACAATGAGGGCAGAGGTTGTTGGTAAAAAGATGAGGGCAGATCTTGCTGGTAAGAAGACAAGAGAAGGGGCTGTTCATACCTCAACCACTCCACGCATACCTAATATACTCATCATATCATTCAATTCTGCATCAACATCTTTTAGTTCCTCCTTGGTGTCAGATTGTACCTGCTGAAGAAATGCTACACCCCTTTTCTTCACCTCAATTCTCCATGAATAAGACAACATTTTGTGGCGCAGTATCTCTCAGGTGGCATGCTTATAGAATATGGCTCTCTTCATGGCTTTATCAGATAACCAATTAAGGCCCCTACGTAAAATCTCGGACCCCTATAAATATGTCAGCACCAGAAGAGCAACAAACACAGAGAAGCAATACCTTTAAACCAGAGGGAGAGGCAATCCTGCCACCCTCTATATATCTAACTGCCTGTTGAGTGTCCAGTCTACTTTCCAGCTTGTTCTTGTAGCTGTAGGGCTCATATCTAGGGTGAACACAAGCTATGTGGGCAGAAAATTTATGCTCAGAAGCTGAGCGTGTGGGGGATGTGCAAGGAGGGGAAGATAAGCTGGTGAGTGTTGGAGTACAGTCAGTTCCAAAGGTGTGATGGGAGTCAGAATCAGGGGAAAGGCTTTGAGTGGAGGGCTTGGGCGAATGAGATTGGCCAGTCAATGACATTGTAGCAAAAAGATAGCTAAAAAAAAGTATACACTGAAAGAGACTGGCTCACAAATAACTGAGTAATGCTGAGTAAACTTGTCTAAGTTCAGGCAAGCCACAAGAGTCGGAGTCTGAAGGACTTGTCAACTTTTTATCTCAATACTGTCAGACCAAATCCTCAGATGGAGTCAACACCCCAGTCACACACTGGCAAGTCAATTGCATGCCCGAATTGCTGCGCCTCGTTTCAGTCTGCAGAGGCTGTGATTCACCACCTGAATGGACGCCCTCAGTTTTTGCAAGGGGTGGTCGTAAACCTCCCATGCATACTCCTCCAAATTACTATCCCTTTTCTGATGTGCCAATCAACAAGGTATTGAGTCAAGATATACCACCCAAAGTACGCATGTGATATTACCCAATGTCTGGATACATCTATGATAAAGGATCAAATATGTTGGAAGATATAGAAGCTGAACTGTATGCATACCGACACCAACATAATGTTTACTATCCCTTCCAAGACCGCGGAGAATGGGAACTTGCTAGATTCCTATGTGAATGCCTCATACAGAGCCAAATTGACCGATTCCTAAAGCTGGAATGATTAAATTTTTGTTCATCACACAAACTTTATATTTACGTTTTAATACAACTCTGGTAGTTCAAAACTCGTGAAAAACCGTCATTCAAGTCCAAAAACTAACTGTTAGCATGGGTAGAGTGGCTTCCAAGCGGATCAAGCTGGAAATTTGAAAAGCTTGAGATGTTGGGCTACACATCGACCCCTATTCATTTGATTTACAGGGATGCTCTTGAGGTTGCTCAACATGTGTTTGCTAACCCAGTCTTTGCACAACATATGATGTTCGATCCAAAAGAGGTCTATGAGGGGATTCAAAGACAGTATGGCGAGTTTATGACCGCAAATCATGCCTTTGAGTTACAGGTAAGTGTAACGCCAATATGGCAATTTTATGGCTGCTTTTAATATACCTTTGCTCCAGAATAATTATCCAGAAGGGGCCACTATGATGCCAATCATTCTGGCATCTGATAAAACGGGTGTCATGAGAGTAACAGGTAATTTAGATATGCATCCAACATTCCTGACAATTGGGAACATTGCTTTGGATGTGCGCATGAAAGCAACATTGCAGGCCTGGAGATGCGTGGCCTTCATCCCCACACCAAAATTCAATGTTCACCCGGATTTTCAAGGCATCCTTCATGCTCATCTTTGGCACAAATGTATGGATAAGGTTTGTGTCAACCTGAAGATTGCTGCAAAGGTCGGCACCTTTATTTCTGACCCCTTTGGACTCGTTCAATACGTTTTTACGCCTCTTGTTGCATATCAAGCGGACCTCCTGGAACAACAACTGATTGCATGTGTCGCTAAGAATTCTTCCCCAGTGTCATTGGCCATGCTGGAATTCTTTGGCGATCCGCGACCTCACTCTCCTTGCACAGGGAGCTATACTTTGAAGCAAATCTATGACATATCCAAGAAAGTTAATCCTTGGCAGGTCGGACAATTTCAGACAGCTGCAAAAGCCGTAGGTCTCAGTGGTGTTCAGCAGCCATTCTGGCGAGATTGGCATCTTGCCAAACCCTCAAAATCTCTCACTCCGGAGATACTACACACTTGCCATAAATTCTTTTTTGATCACATTCTTATGTGGTGCAAGTCAATGCTGGGAAATGACGAACTGGACACTCGGTACAAGAGTTACCACAAGCGCATCAGCTTTTGCCACTTCACTAAAGGTGCCTCCCACATCAAGCAGATGACTGGTCGAGATCATTGTGATATCCAGCGGACGATTGTCCCAACAATAGCTAGTGCTGCCTCAAATAATGCTGTTCACTCAATTCATGGACTGATAGATCTTTTCTACTTGGCACAGAACCCAACTCATACACCCACATCAATTGATCATATGATGAACGCTCTGGCCAAATTCCATCATTACAAGGATGCCATTTTGGAAGCGGAAGCACGCAGAGGCAAGAAGGGAACTATAGACAATTTTCACATACCTAAATTAAAGCTTATGCAAAGCTTTGCCCGTGCTGTCAGTGTTACAACCAAGAGTTTGTTACTCTGGCACACAACTCAGACAAGCTATAGAGAGGATGATGAGGGAGTGGTTACCCCTTAGGCTTCAACAAGTTAGTTGTGAGGATACAACAGGAGGACTCACTGAGGAGTCTCCTTGATCTATTGGGGTATATATACTACTACAGGTTTGTTTGTACATATGTACTATACAGTTGATGAAGGCAGTGGCTGATGATGTCATGGGCACAGCCCATGTGACCAGCTCCACTGCATGAGATACTTGTAGCTAAAATAAGAAAGAAGGCAGCGCAGCGCGAGAAGGTGGAGTTTGAACAAAAATGGAAAGTGCTGTATGGCACAATGTGTGAAAACTACAGTATAAAGTTAAAGAGGAGAATGAAAATTAAAGGTCCAAAAATTGTGTATTATAACAGTCAGAGATTTGGGAGGTCTCTTACAGTACACTGCAGATGTCCCCGAACACCTCCTTATCATCAACTGCAAGCACACATTCCAGAAGACCAACCATCAGAAGGACTTCATCGCACAATCAGTACGTGAGCTGGACCGATTGGAAAAAATTTGCCAATTCAAATTGTACACACTTTTAAGATCACACAAGCACAATTTCATCAATGCAGTCATTCAGGCCGAGACGGAAGAGGTTCAGGCAGTGCAGGATGAGACTACGGATCTAGATCCAGAGTATGCATGGCTCTCGCGTGTTGTCAAGGCCGAGAATATTTGATACCAAGGTCCCCCTCCAGTGCAAAATCATTTCTTAAAAGGTATCTTGTTGGACAATGCTACTGTTGCTTTCCATCTAACGTCAAAACCGGATTGTGGTTCTCTGACTATTGATGAACTTGCTGCAACATTTCAGCTTCCAGACTTTCGGCCTGCTATCATTAACTACTTGCTTCAAATCTCCGTCCAACAGCGTCAAAGTAGGAATGGCTATGGACAGGATATTGGTTTTGACTCTATGCAAGTCTGGTATAAATTTTGTATACAACTCCATTCCACTTTCACTTTCAAGGCTCACATCATTATGCTGAGTCAAATGATTCAAGCCAGTGCCCCATCTGAAAGCTTTCCTTTTGGCAATTGCGACACCGTAATGGTACGGTCTGACTCAGAGGCTCAAGGTTTGTGCATCCACATCCATGCCGCTGATATATTTGTTCACAGACACCTCTCTGCCCCAGGTCACTCAAGTCCGCGCCATCTTTCAACCAAAGCCCCATCGTCACTGCGTACTCGACGCCCGCTTGGATGAGCTGCTAGTATACATTCAACTATTTGAGTGTGCTGCTCTGCCTTTGGAACGGCCTCACATGGATATGTTCATGGTAAAATGAGCGTATCGCTTTTTACCTGACGGCACAAGGGAGTGGAAGGGTGGTTTGATTCCATTGATGTGGATCACACAGGGTGTAGAATTAATTCCCGACTATGGACCACAGATGGACCGAAACATCAACTTGACATATAGTTTAGAGCTTCTTGATGTTTTCTATCTCAACAATTATTCAGACAAGGAGGTATACCATGCAATGTTGAGATATGATATATAGTGTTACGATACACAATTTTCGGACCTTTAATTTTCATTCTCCTCTTTGACCTTTTTCTGTAGTTTTCACACACTGTGCTATGAGGCACTTTCCCTTTTGTTCAAACTCTTCTTTCTCGCGCTACACTACCTTCTTTCTTATTTTAGCTACAAGTATCTCACGCAGTGGAGTTGGTCACATGGGCTGTGCCCATGACATCATCAGCCACTGCCTTCATCAACTGTATAGTACATATGTACAAACAAACCTGTAGTAGTATATATACTGTAACAACCAAGAGTTAGTTACTCTGGTGCACACAGGAACACACTATAAAGGTAGTGAATGGGGTGTTACGATAACACAATTTCCGGACATCTCCTTTCCTTTTTATTCTCCACTTTAACTTTATACTTTAAGTGCCACGCGGCATTTCCCTTTCTCGCGCCGCGTTGCCTTTCTTTTACTTTTAGACTTAACTCTCTCACGCAGTGGAGCTGGCCATACGGGCTAGGCCCTATGACATCATCAGCCACTGCCTTCATCAACTGTATAGTACACATGTACAAACAACCTGTAGTAGTATATATACCCCAATAGATCCAGGAGACTCCTCAGCGAGTCCTCCTGTTGTATACCAACAAACTCTCTGCAGCTTAAGGGGTAACCACTCCCTCTACATCTTCCTTATAGTG